TATACCTCAAAGCTTTCTTATCCAGCTTCTGGATATCTTGACAGCCTCTGTGAGTCTTCAGGACATAATGGTTGTATGGTTTCAGTGGCATGATTGTTGATGGCTTCCTCTCACACTCAGTCTGAACAACTTTACACTGACACAAGTCTCGTGTATAATCTTATAAATGTTCTTTACACATGATCCAACCTCACTATTCTGGGGTACCCTGAGGTACCTTGGGGTACCCTGAGGTACCTTGGGGGTACCCTGAGGTACCTTGGGGTACCCTGAGGTACCTTGGGGGTACCCTGAGGTACCTTGGGGTACCCTGAGGTACCTTGGGGGTACCCTGAGGTACCTTGGGGGTACCCTGAGGTACCTTGGGGTACCCTGAGGTACCTTGGGGGTACCCTGAGGTACCTTGGGGGTACCCTGAGGTACCTTGGGGGGTACCCTGAGGTACCTTGGGGGTACCCTGAGGTACCTTGGGGTACCCTGAGGTACCTTGGGGGTACCCTGAGGTACCTTGGGGAACCCTGAGGTACCTTGGGGGTACCCTGACGTACCTTGGGGGTACCCTGACGTACCTTGGGGGTACCCTGACGTACCTTGGGGGGTACCCTGACGTACCTTGGTGGGTACCCTAGCGTACCTTGGGGGTACCCTGAGGTACCATGGGGTACCCTGAGGTAACTTGGGGGTACCCTGAGGTACCGAACAAGACCGCGCAGACTTGATCAACTCTGCGCGGTCTTGTTCCATCATGTGGCCATCTGCAGGAGAGGGTCTAATGTGCTCAACGCTAATTCCCAATTACTTGTTAACTAGTAAATAATTCCCATCATAAATAATAATTAATTATGAAGCAACTAATGGCTCATTACGTGACAATTGTCTATTATGAGGCAAGTAATCTATATATCAATAAAAAAATTGTTTGCCTGTTTGTCTGTCTGTCGGTCTGTCGGTCTGTCTGTCTGTCTGTCTGTCTGTCTGTCTGTATGTCTGTCCGAGAGGTCAGGAACTTGGGGCCCAGCCTTACCAACTTTGCAGAGAGACTGGTCTGTGTCCGAGGACGGTCATAGGCGGGTGAGGTCACACCCCATGCTTTATGCCCTCCCCTGTGTATGCTGTGGTAAAGCATACTAAGTTACAATCTTAAATTAGTAATTTACAATCTTAAATTAGTAATTTACAATCTTAAATTAGTAATTTACAATCTTAAATTAGTAATTTACAATCTTAAATTAGTAATTTACAATCTTAAATTAGTAATTTACAATCTTAAATTAGTAATTTACAATCTTAAATTAGTAATTTACAATCTTAAATTAGTAATTTACAATCTTAAATTAGAAATTTACAATTTTAAATTAGAAATTTACAATCTTAAATTAGTCATTTACAATCTTAAATTAGTATGACCCCATCCTTACTATGGTTACAGGTATGACGGGAAGGTAACGAAGGGGAGGGAAGGTAACGAAGGGGAGGGAAGGTAACGAAGGGAAGGTAACGAAGGGGAGGGAAGGTAACGAAGGAGAGGGAAGGTAACGAAGGGGAGGGAAGGGAACGAAGGGGAGGGAAGGTAACGAAGGAGAGGGAAGGTAACGAAGGGGAGGGAAGGTAACGAAGGAGAGGGAAGGTAACGAAGGGGAGGGAAGGTAACGAAGGAGAGGGAAGGTAACGAAAGAGAAGGAGGTAACGAAGGGGAGGGAAGGTAACGAAGGAGAGGGAAGGTAACGAAGGTGAGGAAAGGTAACGAAGGGGAGGGAAGGTAACGAAGGAGAGGGAAGGTAACGAAGGGGAGGGAAGGTAACGAAGGGGAGGGAAGGTAACGAAGGAGAGGGAAGGTAACGAAGGAGAGGGAAGGTAACGAAGGGGAGGGAAGGTAACGAAGGAGAGGGAAGGTAACGAAGGAGAGGGAAGGTAACGAAGGGGAGGGAAGGTAACGAAGGAGAGGGAAGGTAACGAAGGGGAGGGAAGGTAACGAAGGAGAGGGAAGGTAACGAAAGAGAAGGAGGTAACGAAGGGGAGGGAAGGTGTGACAGTACGTAAAGAAGATAATGAGTTAGTGAAAATGTTGTGTCGATCACCCGGGCAACGCCGGGTCTCCCCCTCTCCCCCCTCACCTTACCCCCTCTCTGCTACCCTATAATGAGGCGAGTACCGATCTATAATTAGCAATAACATGAGAAGTATTGACCTATAATTTATCTTCAGCCAATATATTACAATGAACAATATAATGTCATATAATGGACTCGTCATACAAAATGGACGAACGAGGCGGCATTATAAGCGCATACGTTAGTGAGCTGGCGCTGATCCGGGACTTAACTGCTTGTATATCCGTGTATATATGACGCTGAGTGAACCAGAGGGGCGAACTCCACTCAGTATATATCCCGGATCTATACACCGAGTGGTTGGTCGACGGGTGTATACACCGAGTGGATGGTCGACGGGTGTATACACCGAGTGGTTGGTCGACGGGTGTATACACCGATTGGATGGTCGACGGGTGTATACACCGAGTGGATGGTCGACGGGTGTATACACCGAGTTAATGGTCGACGGATCTATACACCGAGAGGAATTACTCTATTTTTATTCTTAAAGAGATTACGTATATATTGAGAGGTAAACCTAATTTATGAGAGAGTATAGAGTTTACCGAGTTTACTTTAGACCTGTACAATGTTCACAGCCAAATTATATTTGTTGCATGGTCAGTAGACTAACGTGGTGGCCTAAATTCAATTTCAAATTCAAATACATCATTCATAAATTCTTATACATTGATTGTTACTTCTCATAAATTATTCACCCAGGAGAATGTAATAATTATAACATAACATGTAATATATAAAATTATAAACTATATACTGAAGAATTACATTTAAGTTTAGATGCTACATTTATCAATTATTTAAATATCATTACAACTGTCCAATTCGGAACCATAGACTATGTGTGTGTAACAACTTATACAGATCATTACAGTATTGGCTGAATTTAACCGGTGTTCACCATTCAGATCCAAAATATACACTTTTGACAAAGTGAGAAATATTTGACTTTCAATTTGAAAGGCGGTATATATATATATATATATATATATATATATATATATATATATATATATATATATATATATATATATATATATATATATATATATATATATGAGTGTAGTTTACCACTAGAGCAGAGAGATAAAGTGGTACAATTTATACCATGGAAGTAGGATGATGAGAAGGCAAGTATATATTAGTTCATTAAAATTATCATTCTATGAATTAATAATTTTCACATCCTGAGCTTCCTCCGTTAAGAGATTTTAGGGTCTACTCCGGATCAAAATCATTCCCAACACACACAGAAATCACACTAACGTGATGCATCAATTGAACAAATCCACAAGGGCCGTGACGAGGATTCGAACCTTCGTCCTGATGCTCCCGGACGCAGGTTCGAATCCTCGTCACGGCCCTTGTGGATTTGTTCATTCCCAACACAGTTCGTGCAACATAGATCTGACTTCAGTAGGGCTCAAAATGCCTGTCAGTCAGTTAACCGTCTCTTTGTGACAATAGTTTACACCTGGCTGGGGGGGGGGGTTCTATCAGCTTTCTCTGCTGACTAGTTGTATTATTTTATCCTGTATACCTGCTACACTGCTGTATATATATCACTCATTCTTAAGTTGTATTTCCCAACATTTATATTTCTCGAAAATTGACAAGTCAAGGCCTGAAAATTAAGATTTGATTAAATTTGCTGGATTGGGTGATTATCTGCAGGCAAAAGAATATCATTCATTTCTGAATTATTTCTTCAGGTGTGGGTGTGGGCATTAGGCCTGATATACAATTGCAATGAACGCGAATCTTGCAATCAACACGCCAGAGACGTCCTGAACATTTCCTCAAGTCACAACTGACCTTACTAAGATGAGCGTTGTGAAGGTCCCATACTTCACAGCCATACAAGCTTAGCCATTATAACTGTTGAATAATTTGACTGTCGACCAGGTATTAAAATTCGTGCGGTAAACAGGGGCATCAGGTCAAGCTCTGCCCATTTGTTTCTGCCTCCGCCAGGAACCCAACCCGGGTCCTATGGATTACGATCCCACCGACCGTTATCCACTCAACCGGCAGACCCTGTCATATGTGTGTGTGTGTGTGTGTGTGTGTGTGTGTGTGTGTGTGTGTGTGTGTGTGTGTACTCACCTATTTGTACTCACCTATTTGTGCTTGTGGGGGTTGAGCTTTGGCTCTTTGGTCCCGCCTCTCAACTGTCAATCAACTGGTGTACAGATTCCTGAGCCTACTGGGCTCTATCATATCTACATTTGAAACTGTGTATGGAGTCAGCCTCCACCACATCACTGCCTAATGCATTCCATCCGTTAACTACTCTGACACTGAAAAAGTTCCTTTGTGTGTGTGTGTGTGTGTGTACTCACCTAGTTGTGTTTGCGGGGGTTGAGCTCTGGCTCTTTGGTGTGTGTGTGTGTGTGTGTGTGTGTGTGTGTGTGTCAGAAACGTTGACAACCGGTTGTCTAGCTGTACCACTCCGTACAAATATGCAACGGTTTCTCCTAGCCATAAACGTACGTCTCCTACGTACGGCCGTTCAGCGCGCTGAACGGCCGAGTCTGATGTATAATAAAAACGTCAATATTTCTACGCTTTAAATTTATACTTAAGCGTCGTATTTTTAACGGATTAGAAATTCGTAAAAAGAAAATCGCCGCATTAAGGCGAGCGCGGGGGTGGGGGGTGGGGAAGGTGAGAGACATTGATCACAACGTACAAGATACGTGTATAAATATATAGTCAATGACTCCTGAGTTTGGTGAATAATAATTACCTGTAAAAGATTTACACATTTTTGTTTATATTTACAATGTAAGAAAAGTTCAACGGCTTCACTTTTACGATGACTACCTGTATTTTAGACTGAAGTTCTCACTGAAGCCCGTGCAGAAGCCCGTACTGAAGCCCACAATGAAGCCCGTACTGAAGCCCACAATGAAGCCCGTACAGAAGCCCTTACTGAAACCCGTAATGAAGCCCGTAATGAAGCTCGTACAGAAGCCCGTACTGAAACCCACAATGAAGCCCGTACAGAAGCCTGTACTGAAGCCCGTACAGAAGCCCGTACTGAAGCCTGTACAGAAGCCCGTACTGAAGCCTGTACAGAAGCCCGTACTGAAGCCCGTACAGAAGCCCATACTGAAGCCCGTACAGAAACCTGTACAGAAGCCCGTACTGAAGCTCGTACAGAAGCTCGTACTAAAGCCCGTACTGAAGCTCGTACAGAAGCTCGTACTAAAGCCCGTACTGAAGCCCGTACTGAAGCTCGTACAGAAGCCCGTACTGAAGCCCGTACAGAAGCCCACAATGAAGCTCGTACTGAAGCCCGTACTGAAGCTCGTACTGAAGCCCGTACTGAAGCCCACAATGAAGCCCGTACTGAAGCCCGTACTGAAGCCCTGTTCATAACTCGCATAAAATCTTGAAATCCGTTAACCCGGCCATTATTAATGAATACTTCGCTCGTTACAAAAACATTCTTGTATACTTTTTCGAACTTAGTTGAAAGTGCTTCTGTTTAACAGCATCGAAAACTTGTTTGTCAAGGGAGAATGAGGCCCCAGCATGGAGAGGCTGGAGCAAACACTTACATATTTAATATACACGCTACATATAGAATGACTTTGGTGGTGCGTTGAACACGTGACCTGAGAGAGAGAGAGAGAGAGAGAGAGAGAGAGAGAGAGAGAGAGAGAGAGAGAGAGAGAGAGAGAGGTAAGTATTTAATTATCATGTGAAAGCGATTTGGCTGTAGGACAGTACAGTACTTGGAAGGGATATGAGGACAAGGAGCTGGGCAATGACGAAAGGAAGGAATGGTGTCCAGCCACTTGGACTATCGGGGATCGAACGCAGACCTGCAAGTAGCAAGGCCGTCGCTGTACCAACTAGTCTAAGTGGTCGGGTAGAGAGAGAGACACTCCCTGGTGAAGTGGTGGCAGCACAAGCACCCCTCCCCTCTCCCTCGCGAGCGATTTGGCATTGTTTCGAGCCCTGGCCAAGGAGGATTGACTGGGCGCCAATCCTTAACTGTTCATCCAGTAGTAATTGAGACCTGGTTGTTAAGGGACTAGCAGGGTCGTGTTGCAGGGGAAATGAGTAGGGAAAGGTGAACTATAGGCAAATAATGCTCTAAGCTTGCTAACAGGAGTCAAAAGTTGTGTACTTTCCTACATCTGTAAAAAGAGACAATGAGAGAAAAAATCAGACTGTACGTATCTCTTGAATAGTACCAGGTTCCAAGCCCGACAGGTCACAGGTAACCACCCAGGTTCCATGGCCCTATGACCACCAGGTACCAGGCGAGGTCCCGACTACCTGCAGGAACCAGCCCTCACACGACATAGACCACGACATCTTCAAGGTATATAGGTCACCTACTTCTTTATAAATGTTTTCTAAGTGGCAGCTATGTGAGCAGCCTCGCGGGTCACTGAGAGACGTCAGTGTACGGCCTTTTGCCCATCCTGGCTCCTGAAATCTCGAATACTTGAAGCGTCGATGTATTCAGAGCTTTTAAATAATAGTGTAATACAAGGTAAACCACGGTAGCCTCTACCTTGGGAATGCATAACAGTCCTACGTGTAGTGACTCCTACGAGACAACAATACCAGTAGTGTGTAAGCCCAGTAAGGTATTACCTAATAAGGTATTGCCTAGTAAGGTATGCCTATACACATCCTGTTACATCCTAAATGCATATTTTCAGACCAGAATGGAACAATTACAAACGGAAAACATATTTAATAAAACACAGAACAGTGTGGCAGTATTCCAGCACAGCCATAATGTAGACTGGAAGATGCTCTCATACAGTAAGCAAACAAATCCTCGAGTTTGTACTCTCTGAAACACAGCCTAATTCCCCCCCTTCCCCCCTTCACTGCATCAAGGACTCCCTATAACACCTTCATTGTGAAGGCATAATATCAAGTATTACTCTCCCACTCTCGTGTAATATAACCTGATCTTTGCCAGACCTCCTTCCTGACGTGAAACCTGAAGAGCGTATCGATACCAAGGAATTTATAAAGTTAACTTATATTTTTATGTTTCTCCATGTGGCCTCGCTCGTGCCTTCTAAGAGGCAAGCTCAGCTAGATCATTGATGTCCCCAGCAAATATATTTTTATTTTATGGCTTTGATCAGTAACTGCGTGTGGAGAAGTTTGAGTTATGAGATTGCGTTAAAGATATGCTCAGGTGAGTGTGTTCTGTGAGAGTCGCGTGTGACTGTCAGCTCACCTGTTTGTCTTTTGATTAACGAATTCAAGCTCCCGGGCCCCCGACGCTTATTCTTATCGAACAGGTCGTCTAATGTATTGACTTATAAATATTTTGTTTCTTTTCGTATCGGTCTTGAAATTGTGTAAGGAGAAAGTCTCTGCAATGTCGTCTAGTTTTCACTAGTAACTGCATTTATACTCCAGTAACTGCCTTTGAGACGGCAGGATTATTTTCCTGCGTGTTATGCTTCCATGAATGTTCTTTCGTTCTCTCGTTCACCGTAGAAATAAATTTCGTCTGTCCACCTAAAGAACGTAAAAAGGGGAAATTTAACAAGGCATTTTGCCTAATACAAGGAAGCTCCTATTTATTCCTAACCATAAACACTCATATACGAATGACCTTCGTTAAAAAAAAAGTATTTCGTCGTGGACACCCACTAAGTAGAGGGTCTCAGTGGGTGTTGGCTGGGCACATCTGCCGTGCCAGGTGAGTACGACGGGCTAGTAAAAGTGAAGAAAGACGGTGAGTAAAACTGCTCGTTAACGAAACAATGCTCCAACCTGCCAACACAATCTCACCTGATGGCTTCATAACAAGAGCAGGGACGACAATGTGTGCGTTACTGAAGCCTATAAAACACAGTTATGAATTTGAACTTAATTTTTATTAAGGAAGCAAACTTCCTTAATAAAATTTGTAATCTTCTTAACGCCTGCAATATTTATAACAACTCCCAATAATGACCCCCTTTGAGAAAGTCGTTAGCAACTTCTAAAGAGCTGTTGCAGTGTTCTCTCAGAGGTAATGCACACCTTTAATAACGTCGTTTGTCACCCTAGCTGCCACTATTATGGTGAGCCTCCACTTACGGCTCACCATAGCCCATGCTACTGGAACTTATCGTTCTGAGTAGCGAATCTTAAACAACAACAACAACGTAAGAAATATGGCCACAGCACCACTCCTGTGCCAGGTAAGTCCACTACGGGCTCACCATAGCCCATGCTAATTGCCCGCTCCTGTGCCAGGTAAGTTACGGGCTCACTATAGCCCGTGCTACTTGCCCCGCTCCTGTGCCAGGTAAGTTACGGGCTCACCATAGCCCGTGCTACTTGGAACTTATTCCGAATAGCTGAATCTATAACAACAAACAACGTAAGAAATATTGAGAACATTCGTGTTAGAATTATTAATCTTACCCTTTCGGTCATATTCAACAACATATATATTATATATAATGTGTGTATGTGTACACAGGCTTCCTGTCTCCGATAAAAGTAATTATAAAGAATTTTGTTGAAATAACTTTATAGAACGTTGGCGTCTCCACCATGTTGTAGATTATGGCTCCGAATTCTTCATTAGAATCAATAATTTTTCATATGCTCCCACGGACACATACATCACCAACTGAGCCACGATGAGCTGAACGTTTTCTCCGATGCATATCGTCACACAATGACGTTATAAGAAGGCAAATAACATAAAAAGTGTAGATTGATGAATAGATTCATCTATGGTCTGGAAATATAAGACTGGGTTGACCCTCGTAGCTGGTTATGCTAGTTTAAATACCATTACTGTAGGGTTTCATCGTGTTATGGAGAGTTATTACTGTAAATTAATAATTTAAGAAAGTTATTATTTACAATTATAAATAACAATTGCCCTATCACCGCTGATACAGTAATTTTGAGTTAACGAATATTAGATGTACTATATTGCATTTGTGGTATATTTTGGGATTTTGTAGATTATATGCCGATTTAATTTACAAAAGTCGCCTATTTAATCTAATTAATCTTTAATCGCAGTTGTTTATTCGATAACGGTCATATGTCGAATTGGGTCGGGCTAATTCTGCCGCGCTGGTAACACTCTTACAACAGTGTGGCGCATTGTGCGCATGCGCACCCACCTCACAGTATTTGAAAACCTTGCAATAAATATGCATTCACATCTGATTAATATATATGGTATAAGCGAAATTATAGATAATTAAGCCAATAATAATATATTACAAATACTTAAGTACTGGGCGGACAGAATTATGACCTGTAGTGAGCCATTTCGTACATGGGGGTGATGACGTCACGGAGGCCTTATTCAGAAGGCCACTTACATTTTTTATATATTAATTGCGTCACAAAATTAAAATTGACGATTATGTCAATTAAACGGTAATTATTAATTACATTATACGTTAGCTCAGTGTGGCAGGAGAGAGAGATAGGATATTTACACACACAATATAATAGTTTTAATTGTGTTTATCAAACGAGCGACTTTGTTGTCCCTGGCTTCCCGCCCGCCCGCTCGGGTCAACATGGCGTCTCTGCGTGCTCGCTCTCCAGTCCTCATGAGAGGAAAAAAAAAGGGCTTAGCAAGTGTTTTATATTGATTAAGTTTCCTTTTGTCTCTGGAAACAATAATCAGATTTTATTGAAATAAACAATTATGTTTATTACTAATTTCTCGATTTTGGATTAGTTTTACTTATAACAGTTAGGAGAAAATTACATACAATATATATGTGTTTCATCCAAAATTTTTATATTTTTGGAAATCGGGTTCGTTAGCCAACTCTAGTAATTAAGTTCGGCATATTTATTTTGCATCACATGCGTGGAAGAACGGTAGGCAGCAGGTGTGGAGCAGCACATGTGTGTGTGTGTCCACTCTTGATGTCACCTACATGGACTTCAGCAGACGTCAGGCAGGAGGACATTTGATGTCAATGGGTATACATGCGTCTTTTCCAGCAGAGCAACATTGTAGGATCCGAGATCCTAGTTCCATGAGAAACAACTATGAAGAACTTCCTAAAGAATTTGGGTTCCAGATTCATTCAGACAACCAGAGACCCAAGCGCGGCCAGCTTTAATTTCCATGGGCCAGATTCAACAAGCATTTATGCATATATATATATATATATATATATATATATATATATATATATATATATATATATATATATATTTTTTTAATTTTTGGCTGCTTTGTTTAGATTTCCTAAACAGTTTGAGAGCTCTGAATCACCCGGCGGCTGTTTATAGTGATAATAACATTTGAGGTGAAAGGTCTGATACTCTTAAACTGGTTAATAAATGTAAACAAGGCTCTTCCTCATGAAGGATTCGAATCTTAGATAGTCTAACGCTCCAAACACACGAACATG